ACACACACACACAAGAATGAATGAAAATATGAATATTTTGATTTCTTAAATGTCACAGTTGTACAGTAATAACTCCGATAGTGTTATCAGTTCATCAGTGGCAAACGGGGAAAGGAGAAGAAAGTAGTTGCGAAACAAATACATCAAAAGAGTATTGATTATTAATCGCGAAGCTCTGAGAGCTTGGTAATATTCTACTTTGCTATGCATGTGTTTGAGGAGATTTTACAGGCAGAGATCCTTAACATCACTGTATCCACAGAATGGCCTACAGGTAAGACTTAATCACACAAGGAGAAAAATGAAAATGAAAGCCGTTGACACAATGACCTACTCGTGGATCGTGGAATACATAGAATGCTAAGAGCCTTCAATTCAGTGGGGATGTGGCAAACAACACTAAAGGCCAACTTCAAGCTAGAGCAAGTTCTGAATAGTCAGTTGAATGGGAAGAACAACATCTGGCCAATCAACACCTGCACCCTGCCGGCAGTGTTGGGGAGTAATGGAATACATGTACCGGCGTTACGTATTTAAGATACAAAATATGAGTAACTGTATTCCATTACAGTTACCTTTTAAAAAGGTGGTATTCAGAATACAGTTACCTTATTGAAATAAATGGATTACACGGCGGTCTTTCCCTGTTTCATATATTAGGCTATGCCCTCTCTATTTTTGGTAATTCCACGCCAGTGGAAACCCAAAGAAAGCACGCATTAAGAGGCTCTAATGCCTCTGAATCTCGCGCCCCATGTCACCTGTACTTGCGGCCGCCTAATGACTTGAAGAAATATTTTTAAAAATAATTATTCAAAATAATTTAATACGAAGGCAATAGGCAGAGTGTTGCAGACATAGCCCTAAAGAAGGTAGTCTCATGGGCAGTGTAGTCCATGCTGCAGGGAGAATGGACTGCCATACCTGTTATGTTTCTGTGAGCGAGGGAGGGAGAAGAAGGAGAGTCGAAAAGTACGAGTTGTCACCGACCAGAAACGGGAGATGGAGATGTGAATATAATAATAACCACTGCCACCAAAAGGTTTTTGGCTATGACCCCGACATGGAACCCGACATATTAGCCAGAGGTCCCTTTACTACGGTTTGGAGCTGCTGACCTGTTTTATATATGCGCGGAATAGTTTTATATACTAGATTGCTGCAAAAAGTGCAGCCTTACCTAATTTTACTCATTTTATATTGAGATTTGAAAATCTAGTTGGTATTGATATGGCGAGTAACCTTCAGTATTAGTAATAAATCACACAGCAATAGTACATTCGTGTAGTTGTAAAAAGCATGATAATATATTAAGTAATCCAAAGTATTCAGAATACGTTACTCTCGTTGAGTAACGTAACGGAATACGTTACAAAATACATTTTGGGCCATGTATTCTGTAATTTGTAGTGGAATACATTTTTAAAGTAACCTTCCCAACATTGTCTGCTGGTGATCAAATACCCTGCTGGGATAATAAGCTAGCCAAAAAAGGAAATAGAAGCCACTAACATCAAGACAAGAAAGCTCCTTCTCCTGATTTAATGTCCACAACTCACAGCTGCTTATTGAATACCTCAGGGAGCAGAAACCCAAGAAAGAAGAG